GTGGAAGAGCTCAACCAATGTTAGCGGTTTCCCTTATTATATCATCCAGGCATGGGTCTGGGGTTCGAAAAGAGTCCTCCCAGACACTCCCCAAAAGGTCAAAAGCCACAGACCAACAGGGCATGCTCCTGACGCACTTGGGGATCTCCTCTGTGGCTTGGGCACCCTCCTGACACTCTCAGAGACGAAGGTGTCTGAGCCTTGTGAGCTTCTGCTGGACAACACAGGCAGAACAAACTGGAAAGTGTCTATGCTGGCAAGGTCCCAGAACATGATCATTCACAGATGGACCACATGTCAAAATTCTCCTTTGGATTATGAAGCGAGAGAGGTGGCAGAAGGCAGAGCTCTCGAACATTCCTTTATCAAAGCCGTGCCAAGGCCGGGCACACAGTACAACCGGGGATGTCTCACCTTGTCAACTAGTGGATCGGGAAGGAAGTTTCCCTCCCCAGCCCCGGTGCAGGGAAGTGATGTGGTGTGGGTCACCTACTGCCTTGCTCACCTCACCCGTTTCTGAATTTCTCAAAGGCAGAGACAAGCCTATCCATCTTTAGAGGGCCAACACCTGACAAAGGGCATGCACCCAATAAACGCTTGCTTAATTCAATTGAGCAGAGAAAATCCTTTTTCTCTGCCCACAAGTGCAGAGAACAATGAGCCTGACCTAAGGAGGTAGCTTCCAGAGAGCTCCACCAGCGTTCCTGGGGCAGACGCACATCCAGCCTGGTGACCCATCTTCCCTGCGCCATACTGGCATTTCAGTCTTGGGCTTTGGTTACCTGTAGACATCTGCCCCTCCACCTGGACATACGAGCTTCTGAAGAGTAGAGACACTCTGTCTTCTGGTGCAGAGGGGGCACAAGCATTATTAGTCTGATATGCCGGCTACTCTCCGTTTGCCCCTCCAAGTCCTCCCTCCACTTTGCTCTGCTCTATTCTGTGTCATGGGAGATGACAGTCCATGAACTGCATCAACAAGGTTTCCTGGTAGCTGGCTTCCAGGTGGTTTCAGTCAGTGGGAGGCACTAACAGACGATCAAAAGTTGAAAGGAGAGGACAGGATATTTATTTCCCCCAAAAACCTCCCGATGGAGCGTGGCTCGGCTAGTGGCTCTACTCCCTTGTGCAAGTCCACGGCTCCTGCCGGGTGGCCCTCTCCTGCACTATTGCTCTCTCCAGGTTCCATAACGGGTTCCATCCTTCCCTTGAGCCCTTCAGAGGCAGGTGGAAATGGCATTCTGCTGTTACTGACCCTGGGGTCCTTCATCATCCTTGTCGGTGGCCCTTTAACCCCGCCCACTGCTTTATAAACAGTCCCCTCATTGAATTCCCCCTCATGACTAGCCTGACTGTGACATCTGCTTCCTAAAGTTCAACAGGTAGGCCTAGAAATCCAAGAGGAGTGAAGCTCTAGTCCTGGCAACTGGGACAAGTGACCATGGGCCTTTGGTGAAGCCCCGCCCCTTCTGGGTTTCAGTCTTTCCCTCTGTACGATGGAGGATGATTTGACTAAGTGTCTCTAAGTCCCCTTTATTTTACAAATTGTTCCCATGTATTCTCACAGGATGCCATGAACGGTGCAGAGCTGGTGGAGGAAACTACTTGATGGAAGGTTGCCAAGGTGGGGAAGGGCAGGGATATAGGGGAAGGTCTTTGAGATAGAGATTAAAGTCAATACGATGCTGTTCATTGACAGAAAGGTGAACAGTCTGCGACAGAGGAAACTGGTTTCCTGTGACCTGGGTTTTGTGCTTTATGTGGCTGCAATGGCCAGTGAGGGACAAAGAGGCTTGGCTCAGGGGAGGTGTGTAGAAACAGGGCAACTAATATAGAAGCATCCAGCATGGGATGAGAGAAAAGCGTCCTGAATTCAGGTCTCAACTGTGCCATTTCCCAGCTCTGCAACCATACTCGTTCCACCCTCTAACCTCCCACCCCTTTCCTTAGAGTGAGGATTATACAAACAACTTCCTCAAGGAACAGATGTGAAAGTGAGAAATGCATGAGTAGCATTCGTCGCAGTGCCTGGAACGCAGGGCTCAATAAACATCACCTAGCCCAAGAGACAGCACCTATCCTGTGACCGATCAGCCGGACTGGGAAGTAGGTACCATCCAGTATGAGAACCAGCAAGACCATAGAACACATTCACCCCAACACCCAAGCTAGGAGACAGGAAATGAAACCCAAACTTTCTTAGGGGTTAAGTCAGAAGAAACAAGATAAGACCTTGTAACCACCCCTACTCTCTTTCTAGCGACGATTTCCCAACTTTGATGCCATGAACTTGAATCTAAACAGAGCATGTCAGTTTCAGTAAGCTTAAGCAGCAGAGATTAGACTCCTAGACAGCAGAAGACGCTGACATCTGCAGGACAGGGTGCGCACGTGTGGGATGAGACTATCTAGTCCTGACCAGACAGTGACTGCTGTAGGTTCAAAGGCTGAAGAGACATATGAGCTGAAGAGTGCTGGGAGACACTAGAGCTCTCACCCAGTTAGAGGGCGAAGACCTCTCAGATTCCTCCTTTACAGGCCATGCACCCAGATGAAACACCAGCATTCAAGGACTTAAAGGAAAATGTTGCCTTAATAAATGCACAGATGGGGAATCTCATAAGGAAGAAAAATAAAAAGTATTTAAATAAAGAACCAAATACAAATTATACAACTGAAAATTATCACTGCTGAGGGGTACCTGGGTGGCTCAGTTAGTTAATCGTCTGCCTTTGGCTCAGGTCATAATCCCAGGGTCCTCCCTGCATCGGGCTCTGTGCTCCGCAGGGAGTCTGCTTCTCCCTCTCCCTCTGCCCCTCCCCCCCAACGCATGCTCTGTCACTGGCTCTCGCTCTATCTCAAATAAATAAGTAAACCCTTAAAAAAAAGAAAATTATCACTGCTGAAGTGAAAGTTTCACTAGATACGCTTAACTTCAGATAGCAGAAGAGTCAGTAAACGAAAAGACAGAGCTACAGAAATTATTAATCTGAAGAACAAAGAGACAAGAGATCGAAGAAAAGTAGAGCTTCAAAGATCAATAGGGCAAAATCGTATGGCTTTACATATCTGTAATTTCAGTGCTAAAAGAGAAGATAATGAGATAGGGTAAAAAAAAAAAAATGTTAAGAAATAACAGGAAAGGGAAGCCTGGGTGGCTCAGTGGGTTAAGCCTCTGCTTCTGGCTCAGGTCATGATCTCAGGGTCCTGGGACTGAGCCCCATGTCAGGCTCTCTGCTTCCCCCTCTCTCTCTGCCTGCCTCTCTACTGGCCTGTGATCTCTGTCTCCCTGTCAAATAAATACAATAAAACTTAAAAATCTTAAAAAAAAAAAAAAGAAAGAATAGGAGAAAAATTCCAAATCTGATGAAAACATACCAACTTACAGAACCAAGGAGCACAAATAAAAATTCTAAAAACTGAAAAAGTACAACTCGATGCATGATAGTCTCATTTGCCTCTCTACTGTCCTGGCCCTTCTCCCTCTTAACTAGTCTGGTTTGAACACTGGTCTAACATCAGATCTTCCCTGATTAAGAAGGCAGAGTCGAGGGGGAAGCATCCTTGAGTTGATCACCAAAGAAAGAGGGGGCTCAGGAGGATCTAGAACCATGGACCCAGAAGGCACGAGTGTAGGAGCTGAAGTGTGACTACCCAGCCAATGTGTGGGTCCAGATTTGTGCCCTGGCCACACTCTGCAAAGTGGAACACGGAGTGAACTACATGGTGAGGAACATCTCATTATTTTCTACTGAAATAACCATCTCCTGGACAAACAGCCAGGATCTCCCTTTGCCTGTATCCATCTCTACGGAAATCTAGAGCCAGGTCTTCCCCCACACTCTGAATCCTCGCTCCCGGGACCAGAAGGAGAACGTGCTGTATCTGCCCAGGGTTGCTCATGGCTTTAAAAGCAGGACCTCTCAGCGTTTATGGCTGGAAGCTCCCTGAGATCTAGCAGCAAAGAGAGGACCCTGAATCCTCCTCCCAAGAGGTATTTTTCAGATATGTTAGGAGACGCAACCCTGATAGGAGATGTCAAGTTGAGCATCAAAGTTAAAGAATAACCATCTAGTTCAGGCCTTGTGTCTGAGCAGCCCAGAGGCTCACTGGGGCCAAAGCTTCGAGAGAAGAAGACTTCATACCTCCATGCCCTCCTGCTGCTGTCTGAGGCACCCGAATCAAAGAGGAAGTGGGAGGGTAGAGCTGAGGGTGAAGGTCAAGATCACTTGTAAGACCAGAGAAGAGATCAGGTTAACCCAGGCAGCCGGCCAGGAGCTGCTCTGGAATTTCTGAGTAGGAAGCACTCAGGAGCAGCAGTCACATGGAACCCGCCCCTGGGAACATGTCACTGCGCATCAAAGATGGGGAGGTTGATGGGACTAATCTCCAAGGGCCACCTAATGCCGCTTGCCCACTTGGCACTGAATCCAGAGACTGAGGCTGAAAGGGGGAAAGTAAAGGGGGCTTTCCCCAGACAGTGTAAGAGAATAGACAGACCCCCCAAAACCAGCTGCTCACAGTGGTGTTGCAGGCATCAGTAAGACAGTCTGTGGGAGGACAGGGAACATTCTTTCACTCTTCAACTCACACTGCCTCTTGTACCCACTGTCAAAGCAGGCCCTGGTTATGGGTTCAGCTTGGGGATGAGAGCGCGACATAATCAGATGACCTGACTGGGTGCTTGGCTCTCTGTGTCCGTCAGGTTCTCCGAAGACACAGAACCAAGAAAACACGCTGTGTGTGGAGACAGACAGACAGAGAGATTGATTTTATGCCTCTGGTGGGCGCAGCGAGACTCAGCTCTGCAACGAAGGAGGCCCAGGGAAGAGCTGAGCCCGTGGTCTGAGTCAGAAAGCCGACTTCTGCAGAAATTCCTCTTCTTTGGTCTTTTTGTACTCGGGAGGAAGCCAGTCGTTTTTGTTTTTGTTTTTTGTTTTTTGTTTTGTTTTTTTTTTTGCTTTCTGTTTGTTTGTTGTTGTTTTGTGTTTGTTTGGTTTTTTTTTATGGAACCCTTCGCAAATTTGCGTGTCATCCTTGCACAAGGGCCGTGCTCATCTTCTCTGTATCGTTCCAATTTTAGTACATGTGCTGCCGAAGCAAGCACAAGGCCAGTCGTTTTTATTAAGGCCTTCAGCGGACAGGATGCAGCCCAATCACATTGGAGGGAGGAGTTAATCGGCTTTACTCAGTATCTATTGATTCAAGCGCTTATCTCATCAAAAACCTTCACAGCAACGTTCAGAATCACGTTTCACCAAACACTTGGGTCCTACAGCCTAGCCAAGTGGACACAAAATTAACCATCACACCATTAAGGGGCACCTGCTCCAGGAAGGACCTGTGCAGGACGCAGATGAGCCTGAGGACAAGGTCAACCAGGGCCGACGGGGGATTGCGACTACCAGATGTGACTGTTCTAGACAGCAGCTGTAGAAGCCGCAGGCCCTTTTCCTTTCAGGGAGGCTAGACCAGAGCGTCTCCAATTTGAATGTGCAAGTCAGTCACTCGGGGATCCCAGGATCTTGACATTCAGCATTTCCCTTGAGGGCTGAGTGACTGCCTGTGGGTCTATGGGCCACACCTGGCGTCAGGAGCACAGGCCCAGAGCTAGATTTCCAGGTCCAGTCCCGGATCCACCCCCTCACATGCTGTGTTAAATTTGAACAAGGGAAGTACTTACCCTGCTTGAATCTCATCTATAAAGGTGGGTCAGGGGCAGGGAAACCAACAGTATGAACTTCAGAAAGTCTTTGTGAAATTAAAGAGAAAATAAACAGGATGTATTGGGGCAAACAGTTCAATCTCAATAAATGCTCTTGGCTACTACATTAATATGCGCAGAAGATTTTTAAAAGAATCCATGTCGGGTAAGATAAATAAATCTTATATCCATTGATTTGCTTGGTAAAAGGACCTAGACATAAAAACCACAGGAAGAACAGTTAATAAAATTGAGAACATTCTCCCTAGAGAAGAATGGATGTCGGGAGGAGGCAGAAGGAGAGTGGAGGCACCGAACATCCTTGAACTAGAGTATCCATGAAAATGAAATGAGAATGACCCTACAAGGCTCTACTAGGTTAAACAAAGACCCACGACATGAATCTTCTGAGGAAGTCAAAATGCGATCAGTAACAGGACCTGGGAGCCATAGAAGTTATCCAAAAGTGAAGCACGCTATGAGGACCGAGTCATCTGTCCCCTACCTGGAAGACAGCCCAACCAGCAAGACTGTCAGAGATAAGATTTTGTTGCCACATGACAATTCCCCCAACCCTCCAAGCCCTTCTAGAACTCAGAGCAGCTTACATCGCTGGCTCTCCCTGGCAATGGTCTCCACCACGCAGTCCTGGCGCTCTAGACCTATTGTCCAAGGACCTCTCCTGGGGGACACTTGGCAACCTGCAAGCTTAGTCATGATGCATCAAACAATTCATTCAGATTTCTCCAATTCCATTACCCGGCCCTTTGGGAGCCAGATGGGAAAAACAATCAGCTCATGTGAGGGCCAGAGAAGCAGCTGTGTCCAAACAGCCTTGCCCCCATGAAAACACTAGCCTGTCCTGCAGCCTCCCAGACCGGAGCTGCCATGGTGCAAAAACATTCGGACAACCACCCTGCGGGGTCATATGTCAAACACTTGGCACACCCATGGAGACAGTTCTCCCCGTACCCTCTGCCCCAGCCCCTACCCCGTGACCCACTGGATTGCTCCACAGTCTAGGGACCCAAACTTAAAACCTAGCTCAACAGGGGCCTGGGTCTTCCCAACATCCAGTCACTAGCTATGCAATATGTTGACATCACCCCATACATTCTAGCCATGCCCCCAGGACCCAGCAGTCAGGTGTTCCTTGCTTCTTGCCTGTGTCGGAGAGTTCCTTCCAACCTGAGCAGAGGCTCCCCAGGAGCTAGAAGGACAGGGGAAACCACTGCTTCCCCAAACACACCTAGCTTTGTGCGGTCTTATATCCCCATCTCCTACCCCCCATCACCTTCCCCTTGCAAGAGAAGAGAGACTAGAAGAGAAACAGAATAAAGAGGGAAGAATAAGGCTGGGGTGAGAGTACCTGGGCCCAGCCGTCAGGTTGGGTGGTTGGACCATCAGCGGGGTGGAGGGGGGTTACTCTTTGCCTCTACATGGGAAGAACCAGCCTGCTTTGTCCTCCTAGCCCCTGAGAATGGGGAGTATATTTGTTCTTCAAGCAGGAACAGTGAGGTCATCAAGAACAAGGACAGATGTGACAGTCAAGCAGACAGAACTGACCTCAAATCCTAGGCCTGTCGCTCACTACCTGCGTATTGTGGGGTAACTGCCTCTCTTAGACTCTCCATTTCTCTATCTGTAAAAGGGAAATGAGAATAAAAACAGTGCCTGCCTGCCTCACAGGGCTATCATGAGGTTAAAAGAGATTAAAGCCCATAAAACATTTAGTCCGCTCTTGGCTTTCAGTACTGAATAAATGTGGGAGTTAGATCTCATTAGAGACACCCCTGCCCCCAAGTCTGGCCCCAAGTCTGACAACACTCATCAAACTGAGTAGAGTTGGGGTCTATCAGGAACACTCGCCAGCTCCCAGGTCCATCTGCATGTGGGCTCTGGGGTGGACGCAGCTGTCTCCCAGCACCCCCTCACCTCACCTGTCAGTAGGAGCCAAGGTCAAGGAGATGAGAGTCTCCCTGCCTAAGGTCTACCAGGGGAGACAAGAGCTCTGCAGAGTTCGAAGAGCCCAAGGCTCATGCTGTGAAGGTGCTTCAAAGTCATAGTTCCTTCAGCAGAGAGGCAGGGGTGGGCAGGAATGAGAAGGGAGTGGTAGGACCCCCCCCACACCCACCCAGGAGGCCTTGCTCCCATCTCTACCAGGCCCAAGCAGCTTTAGTCGGAACAGTCTAGCTTCTCTCTGCCCAACATCCTCCCCGCCCCTCCTCCACAGGGGCTTCTTACTCTAAATCTAGAAGGGAGGTGGACCCACATCTGGCCCCAGCAGCCTCCACTGAGTGTGGGACAACCAGAGACAGGCCGACAGGGGGCTGTGGCCTTGGACGCTCACCCCCAGGCAGCTCAGGTTCCTGGAGGTGAGCCCATCCTGACAACTCAGTGAACAGTGGGGCATCTGCTGGGTGCCAGCCTCTGTGCCTCTTAGAGGGGAAAATGAGGCATTCCGTCTGCGGAGGGAGCGGGGAGGGTGATGGCTGCCCCAATGCCCATTGTCTAAGGCTGCGGCAAAGGGCCACAGGGATCTAGCTACCTCTCATCGGGGCTTCCGTGGGGATGCAGGACCAGCAGCTTGTCCTTCAGAGAGGGGCTTACAGACCAGTAAGGAAGTGCCCAGGGGCCGAGAACAAAGACCACAAGAGAACGTGGGTCATTTCCAGTGAGGTGGGGTCACAGAAAAGCAGGGAGGAACACCTGAAGCAGAGGGACAAGAGAAGGCCTCGCACCTGGGATCTGAAATTAGCACTCCCAGGGGCACTGGGAGAAACACTGACTGGGAAGAAACACGCCTGCAGAGGTCAGTGGTCAGGGGCCCAAGGAGAAGGCCCTGGAAGCTGCTCTCAGGCCACGTTGTCCCCTATCCATAGAGCAGGGGGAGCTCTCCGACCACGGAGAACCCCAAGTAGCTCGGGTACCCACTCCCCTCTCTGTAACAAGGCTTCTGAAGAGGCCAAGCCCCAAGAGGCGGGTCTGATTGCTTCAGCCAATCATGGTGGTCCCTTGGTCACGGATGTGTGATTCTGGCCAATGAGATGCAAGCCTGCTGGAGGGGCGCTGGTCAAAGGTTCCTCACAGGGAAGCAATGGCCGCCAGATGCAACTATATGGATGTGACACCTGGAGATAGTGCATCCATCTTGTGACCATGAGGAGCGCCAACCTGAAGGCCAAGCTGAGAGAACCTCAGAGCAGGCAGAGCTGGAGCTCATGGGACTCCCTGCATCTGGACTCATGACCAATAGTAAACCCCCTTACTGCCCAAGCCCATCTATCCACTCGGGGTTTTGTTAGCTGCGGGCCTTCTAAGAGATTTAGAGACCCCATTTTCTCTCTTCTCCCCACATGCTGCTTGAGAACTATCCAGAGCTTAGGATTGCCGAAGGAAACTAAGGTTAACAAATAAAAATACAAGGCACCAGTTAACTGAAACTTCAGGTAAATTAGAAGTAATTTTTCCAGTATAAGTGTTGTATGCTGTATTTGGGACTCACACTAAAATATATACATAAATATCCATTGCTTATGTGAAACCTAAATTTAACTGGTCATCCTATATTTTATCTGACAAACTCTACGCCAAATCCCCCGTTTTCTCTCACTCAGTAGTAAACTATCCTCCAAAATGGCTTCCCCACCCTGAGGGGCTTCTGGGACAGCAGCAGTACACCCCCTCACAGAGTCTCACACACCACCCTGCATCCTTGCCTGGTCCTCTTCCCTGCCAGGTCCTAACAAATGGTGACAGAGGAATGAGAAGGAGGGGGACCAAAATATCGCCTTCATGACTGAGAAAGCTGTTGTGGGGGAATCTGGCCAAGAGCTGCAAGCAACTGGGCTCCTAATACTGAATCCCAGAACGAGACAGAACACCTGCCCAGTCCCAGGCAGCCTGGGACTCTCCCAATCCTACTATGGGTAGGGTTGGGGCCATCCCCCAAGTAACCCTATGACCAGGAACAATGGAGACTCAGGCAGAGGTCTAAGCTTTGCGCTGGCAGAGACCTTGCTTCCAATCCTGACACCCCACTTAGTGGCCATGTGACCCTGGGCAAGTTGCTTTCCCTTCCTGCAATCCCTTCAGATTGAAATATGTCCCTATTATAAGATATATTATTTACTTTAAAATACTTAAGTATAAATGCGAAGTAAATGCATATGTGCATATTAATTTATTTTCAACTTCACCCTAAGGCAATTATTAATAACTGCATTTCCCTATCAGGGGTCCACAATCTAGTAGGTACTACTAAGGGCTTCAAATATCCTTCTCTAAGTTTGTACCCCAATATCAGTAGCCTAACCTCCTGAAAGTCAGACATACTGGTCACGGGTGAAATGACAGAGGAAACGGGGTGGGTGGAAAGACTGTGCAGCCTTCTAACCTTCTCA